TCAAGAGTTGATGGGTCTGTGGGAAGATAACACTACGGGATCTCTGCCAGGTTTAGGAATTAGGAATCACCATTTGTGTTTTCCACGTCTTTGGGATGGTAGTTTCCCTCCGAAGTATTTGCTCATTCACAAGGAAGATGGTCGAGCACTCTGAAAGGCACTTTATCCACACGGGACTCTTGCTTTTCCGATAGCAGCAGCGACAAATGCTGAGATATGGAACATTTCCGTATATTCTGATGAGAAGTGGCATTCGGCAATGTTACGTAACATGGAGGGAGGTTGAGGCAAAAAATCAGACATATCTTGTGGGATTGAGAAGTTCAAGGAAAAATGATAATTTTGGTACATGGTACCTTTCTAATACTGCCTCAAATTTCTTTTGCATTAGTATTGGGAGATGGCTTTGCGCCGGTTATTTCTGATGATACACAAGAAAATGATCGCTATTCGCTGTATCCTGGAGGATCCTGCAGTCAGAAAGTCCAGACAGTCTCTGGAAACAAAAACCCACTTCTAGAGTGCTGTGTACACCTAGGCGTGTGAGACGAGTAGCTGATCCATCATTTAGTACACACAAATCGTGATCCTTAATGAAATCATAAAGAATGTTACCACTTCTACTTCCCCGTGAGTAGCTCACCTGAGAAATTATAGGTATTAAAATCTCCCATAAAGAGGACTGCTTTATTACGGAACCGAAAATTGAATCGAGGCTTTCCCTGACTAAACAAATATCTGGAGGAATGTAGACAGAGCAAATAAAAAAATCCTCGGACTCTGCAAGAATAACCTGACACCTCTCTATTATCTCTATTCTGCTTAAGCCAATGATATTATATTTTATTTTAGTTTTCAAGAAAATAGCTATACCATCAGCACCATTTGGTTAGTTACAGATGAAATCCCTGATATTTTAAATTTAGTATTGGGTTTAAGTAAGGTTTCGTTGAGCATTAAAATCTGATGACTCTAATGATAGCATTTTTTTCAGCCACGCAAATGTTCCAATGAACACTATTCATTATACAGTAATTATAAAATACATATGTTTAAAACTTAAACTTAGTTTTACTATGTGACAACTACTGTTAGATTAAAACTAGTAATTAAGAGAACCTTTTCATTTTTTAACCCTTCTAGGTCAACCGATGCTATCCAATCCATAGGTCAAAAGAACGCAAAGTATTGTTGGATATTGTTGACACAATTTTCATCCCTATTCCTTATTGACATGACGTCTTTCTTGAATGCTTCAAACCTAGTGCAACAAACCTAGTGTAACAAAATTTGTTCATGGGCTATTTTATTTATTTTGATGACTGGTGTATCACACGTTTTTCTTGTAAGTAATGATGTATATGAGGAACCGCTCTGGAAACTTGTTAGATAAGGAGTTTTAATTTGAGTTTTTCTATTTAAACTGGGAAAATCTTCTGCTATTCAAAAACCACAACGAGCCTGCCTCTACAGTTATTTTTGACGTGGCCAAATCAGCAACAATTGACGCAGATTATAACTACTGTTTCGCCAGAAATAGCAAGTACTTTGCTTCTTCTAAAGACTCTTTTTGCATTTAATATTTTTATCAACCTGGCCCGGGATCCTTCTGCTCTTCTGCTGTATAAGCTGCCGCTTCCGAGCAAAAATTTTTCTCGATGAGTTGATCCCCTACATCTTTAACTCGTTCTGTGTGCAAGTGGCCAGACGTTGCGGGATGAACAGATGAACATATTATAACCTCTAGCGGAACTGAAACTTTCATTTAACAAAAATTCATTAGCATACTCTGATGTTCAAATCCAATTTTATTAATTAGCTCCTTTTTTATTAATTTTCGTTATACCTTGGAACCCAGCTCTGTGCAAGGTTTTGCCAATATTCATTGGATGAATGTTTCCAACTTCAAAAGTGGGTGTTAAGAAGTATTGACGCTGGGCAATTGCATGTGCTATTTTCTTAGCTAAAGGCGAAGCTTAGTTGAGCTCGAAAGAAATCAAAATCCTCTGCGAACACTATCGGGTTATTAACTACGAGGATGCTCATTTCAGTCCGGGCAGTCTTTACCCTCCGAGGCACATGCCATGATATAAAAAGCGCTGAATGTTTGCGAAATGCCACACCAAATCAAAGCAATCCAAGTATAAACTAATCCAGACCGAAAAATTCAGTCAAAGACGAGAATTATGCCAAAAAGACCGAGGTAAAATTGTACACACCACTTCACCTGGTTTACCGAAAAAAAACTTAGCAGTGGTTATTTAGTATTTCTTCTCCTTGTACTTGTACTTGTACTTATTGAAAATGATTACATTGCATATCGGCAAGTTGGGCTACTCACAGACAGTAAACGAGACACGGCACTGCTGCAGTTTGAATGGACCAGAAAATTTTTGGTTAAGGTTTTACTGTCGTTATTTTTACTTTAATAATTTTAAACATTCTCTGCAAAGTATTGATTATTTAGTCATTAGTGATCGCCATTATTTAAAACAAATCGTAAGAACTCTATAATTGATTTATTTTTCAATGGTAAAAGCCCAATTACAATATTAATAATAACAATTAAAGTTAATAGCAGTTAACAAAATAAAATAAAAAATTATGGTGAGTAAAAGTAAGAGATTATTATTATAATAATAATAATTAATATTATTATTATTATTATTATTATTATTACTATTATTATTATTATTATTACTATTATTATTATTATTATTATTTAAGGAATTTAAAGATTCAAGACTAACAAGATAATATAAAATTATTATAGACTTTGTTCAAGAAAATATGAAACGATGGGAAAATGTCAATCATACAAATTTCTAGTCCTAGAAATAAGACTATTCTTACGGAGACTTGAAAGTCAAAACTATGAATTGCTTTCGTAGGGACATACAGGCTAATTTTAACAATAATTCTAATTCTAATTTCGTTCTTTTGGAGAGATATACTATATAAATTTCACCTCGAAATACAAAAATTATATTTAAAATGTCAATAATAATTGATATGATCAATATGATTGAATATTTTCCATCTGTCCACATGAAATTCAAATTTTCTAAAATCCGAGTGTGTTTTGGAAAATAAAATAGTAAAAATTATAATGGTGATGTTTAAGTGCCAACCATATTAGGATTCTAGCCATTTGTAATGTATTTTGGTGGCCCTACTTGTCAAAAAATGCTTTTTTCTACACCCGTTTGTAAAAGGCCTAATTACACACCGATCTAGCGTGCGGGAAGCGTCACTTTACCACGTTTTCGTTTCCCACGGATCCGAGCCAGTTCGGATATTTCCGGGATTTTACCGCACGGGTTTTTCCACGCCTTGAATTTTGACGTTTGTCAATTCTGAAGGTCATGTCAGTGAATGTATTCGTGTTGGTTGGCGAACATGTACCCAAAAACGGTCGTAGAAAAAGTATAGTATGCAACACGTTCGGTAAACTTTTTCACTCGTGTCAAATGAAATCATTTACCACACATGTTGCATAATATATTTCCACCTGTAGAACCGCTTGATATGTGTCGTGTTTATTTTCAAAATATTTAAAACGCAACAAGTTCTGATAAAATCTATACGATAGAGTATTCTGCATTAAAACACAAAGATCTTGGTGTTTTATTTGTATTATAGTGTTTCATTATTGCAATATTCAAACGTACATTATATATATTATTATATTTCGAATATAATCTTGGTGTTCTAATGGTAAATTTGTATATATTTTGATGGCGACCTTATCTTGTTCTTATTTCTTTAGGGAAGAAATACCGATCTATGGTCTTCACTAGCATGTTAGTTTCCATCTTTCTATCTTTTCGATCTATTTAACGACCATACAAGTAATTGAAATCAATTCCTCCAGGGCAGCATCGATGGCCAAAGAAGCCCTTTTCAAGTTTGATAGCCGTTCTAAAGTTATTAACATTTATTTCCGAAAATGTTCAGACACCCCTTCCGTCCACCACCTCTACCTCCACCTTAAGAGGCTATTCTATGTAAGAGAATTAAATTTATCCCAACTTTAATTCGGTGTTCATTTTAGTTGTCTGTGTACAACAGGATTTAAAATTCAAAGACGCGATTACGCCTCTTAGCGGCCATTCTAGAAATTAAAAAATAATTTGCAGCATTTTCTTTAGGTCGCTTTAATTGTAAATTTTTTTACCAAAAATCTTTCCGACAGTTACATTCCGAGATATGGAAGGGAGAGTAGACATAAGAGGCGTATTCAAGATGATGACGTGCGAGAGAACAATACAACATTTTTAATGCTCTGGTGAAGTCCCTGGTATTTCCTCTACTAAAATCAAGCATCCGGAAAGCTTTATTAAGGGTATCATCAACGTGATTAGAAAAGTAAAGACTTGTATCCAGTGTAACTCCTTGATCATCACATTGATACGATAGACAAAGTACAGCGTAGGTTCTTAAAGTTTTTACATCTTAAGGTTGTGCAAGGTAGTTATCTGGAACGGAGAATCCTTCTCCAGCAACTATTTATTAGAGTCTCACGATTCACAAATTCGAACCTTACCTTTCTTATTTTATAATAATAATATAGTAATTTATATATTAAGTACAAATTATAACAAAACCAGTGAGGGGTGGGATTTAACATATCGATAGGTCAGATTAAGTTATTTATGATATGTATTTCAATACGGCTGGTGTGTAGGCTATAAGAAGGAAGACATTATTCCTCTATTGTTGCTTATAGGTAGAAATTAAATACCTGTTATTATCTCTCCTGTTGGCATTAAATTTATCTATTATTTATATATTTATCTTCAACATAGGAGCTCTTCATCTAGGAAAGGAAATGACTTTGCATTTTGAAAGAAAGTAATTTCTGTAACACTGTTATCAAGGTTCTATTGTAACTAACCACGTTCCGCACCACTAACCACAAAGTGCCACGCGAAGTCCCATAATTATTTTTTTAAATAATAAGTTTTAAAATCGCTATATTTCGCATTGGCCTTTTTTAGGAGCCTGTAGCCGATCCCTTGTCGAACGCCACGGACCTGCGCAAAGCTCTAGAATGGGAACTCTCGTTGGATAGTCGCGACTTGCGTTCCCACGCATGGTACCACGGTGCGATACCGCGCGCACGCGCCGAAGACATAGTCAGGGAGGAAGGCTGCTTCCTGGTGCGCGACTGCACCTCCCAACCCGGCAATTACGTGTTGACCTGCAGGACCAAAGGTCACCCATTGCATTTCGTCATCAACAAGGTGTACCTGCAGCCGGACACCGTCTACGAGAGAGTTCAGTATCAGTTCGAAGACGAAGCCTTCGATACGGTGCAGGACCTCATTACGTTTTACGTCGGTCAGCAACCAGATTTTTCGATAGTTTTTTTTGACAGAGTTGCCACAATTACTCCGATCTGCATTTTCATTTTTACAACTACCATATATATAATGTAGAGTGTTGTGGCAACACTAACTTTTCGGGGAGATGCTTAAAGGACTCTTTCAGGCTCGGGAAAACCGATAACGGTTGTGTCAGAGGCCCGCATACTGTCGCCCGTGAATCGTATGTACCCCTTATCGTTTTACGCCACCAAGTATCCCACCCCACTACCTCAGAGCCGACTGTCTTCACCTGCCACCACCCCTGTGGGAGCGGCACAGTACCGGCACAGCCCGTTGCAGCCCTACAGACCGTCTTGTTCGCCGACTCGCAGAGATGGACCGCCCAGGTAAGAGCGCCTAATCTTAACAATATAAAAAGAGCCACTCTCCGTTGGCGTTATAGCGCTTTAGCACTTGGTAACACTCGGTGATGGGAAGCATCGCGTATCGATCAGCATGAAACTGTGATGTTCGGTATATCAATAAAAAAAGTATCTCAGTTCTAACAAGGTAGAGTTTCGAAAGTGGGCTGATAAGTCCCGGACCTGACGAGATGACGCCTGCATATAAAATGTTTTATGTATATTAACATAGTACTATCTATTCTAAACTATTACCATAATACTTACTATCGTTAGCCATGTTGTATACAAAATTTCAAGGTAATTCATTAATTAGTATACATTTGACAGTCTTTTAAAGAATATGCTACTGACATTTTTTACAAAAATGGAAGATTTTAAAAAGCGTGCCGTTTAAAGCCTTCTAAAGTGCAAAAGGAAGATGAGTAACACCCTGAAAGGCGCATCGCCATCATACTCAAATGTTAGTTTCAGAATTTAAAAAGGATTGCATAAGCTCTAATGCATAGCATAGTATAAAAAATATTTTAAAAATTAAAAAGAAAAACTGGTTGAAGTGAGAATTTCGAAATTTATAAACGAAATCCTGATCAATTTTTATGTCTATTTATAACTATGGATGGGGCACCACTACACTCCTGAAAATAAATGACATTCAAAAAACAGTGGACAGCAACGGATGAACCAGCTTCAAAGAAGGAAAAGGCAATTTTGTCAGCTAACAAAGTTTTAGCGAGTGTTTATTGCGATGCAACGGGAATTATTTTTATTGATTATCGTAAAATAAGGTAAAACTGTGAATGGCGTTTACTATGCATAGTGTTGGGGGGCTGGTGAATTGACGACTTGTTAATTGACCGGTCAATTGATCACTTCTTAATTAACTAGTCAAAAATGTTTTAAATAATCATTTAAATTGCAATTGCAATTGTAGAGTGTATCATTATTTAATAATATAATGTTTAAAAAAATTATTATAGGTTAGTGAAAATCCGAATACGCTACTGAGCGATTTGGGAAATTTCAATAATAATATCGGTTCAAAGAACGACGCCACGTAACGCACAATATAAATAAATTTGAATAAATTTTTAAAACTCTTGTTTCACGATGACAATGCATCAGCACATTGGTCCATTGTTACATCAGTTCATCGGATACGTCACGAATTCAAGTTTGAATTGGTTTCTCGTCGTCTCCACTTAGCACCCACCCTAACCTCAAAAATTGGTTGGTGAACAAAGTTTTGAGAGCCACGATGAAGTTATTACAGCTGAGAATAGATATTTTGAGGAGCTCGACGTTTTGATTTATAACGAATATGTAATTAAATTAGATCACCGACAGGTACGAAATAAAGTGTAGCAGTCTTTATGGGGACTATATTGAAAAATAAAGCAAAAAGTAAAAAACATCGTTTTCATTGTTAGGCCCAAGACGTCACTCTCGTATTTTGAGTATTTTTAACACTTTGAAATTACACATCAAGACTTAACGTTGAGACTGGAGGAGCTAAATTCTCAGTAGGCTCCCCGCACCTCTAGTTGCGCCACTACAGGCCGTTGTTCTTGACTTGTTCTTAATAAATGGAGATACATAAACAGAATCACGATTCACAGATTGCCATCAAAAAAGCAACGGTCACAATCACTGACTCCGTCGGAAGTGAACAGGATGGCACAGGAGAAGTGCAACAGCGCTGACGGAGTCATCCAACCGCCCTTGATGACTAGGTCGGTTGGCTCGGACGGAGTGGCGTCAGGCTTAAAGTTCTCCACCCATTCTCTGCCAAGGATCACCAACAACACCAAACTGTCGTTGTCCTGTAGCGCAAACACGCTCGGACGGAATTGCAGGTAAGTGCAACCAGATGGCATTCGCAGTACGTTAGGCCTAAGGTTCCATCTTCCGAAATCATGCGCCATAATAACTCGTGGTGAGTTTTTGTCTATTATAGGCTAATAGTGGCTCCGGGATTCCCATTTTCGTCTTTGAATTGAAGTCCATGCTTTTTACATTACACATTTTGTTGTAACTTATCTAATCCCTTTAACTCTCTGTCTAAGATGTGCGGAAGAACAGACTAGTAGTACCCATCTCAGAGTAAGTTAGTATTACCAACATTTTAAGGCTTCCCAGAAGAAATCTGAAACGGATTTTATTTCTCAGTGGATTTTTGAGCGCTGCTTGGCTACTTGTGTAAATATATGGATCTTTTTTCCTCAAAAGTTCCTCCATCAATGCCTTTATTTTTAATCCTAGAATCTGTTTAGCCGCCGTACTATTTCAAAAACAATCACGTATCAGGTGCAACAATTGTCCTTTTTTATTTTTAGTGAAGCAGACAATAATTTTCCTTGATATGAAATTTCAATGAGCGGAGCAAAAATGGGACATCATGATTGAGAAAACGTTTTCAGGGCAGATAAATGCAATGCAACCATCTAGAGAATCATTTTGAATTTTGAATCAGTGTGAATGTGAAAAAAGTAAATAAATACTAAAACTAATTGCAAGGTTTTATCGAAAATAAAGATTTAAAAATAATGTACAATGAAAAGAAAAAAGTAATACGGCAAATATGCTCAGAAAAAATAAATTCTGATAATAAATTAAAATCTTGTCGGAAATCAATGGAAAATTAAAATTTGCAACTTGAGAGCATATGACTTATTAAGGTAATTTCATTGATAATAATCAGTCCTTATATCTATTTATGAATATATCCCAACAATAAAATAAAATAGTGGAGAAGAAGAAATTCTAACCACTATTGTAAAACAATCTATTAAGATATTGTATTGTTCTAGACCAATTAAAGATTTCAAATATTATTTATATTATTTAAACATGAATGTTTTGTTGATTACCTTAATAATTATAGACCGACAAGTCTCTTACCGAGCTTTTCAAAAATATTTGAAACTGTTACAATCTCTAGACTGACATGATGTATAAACATGTGTCAGCTATTGTCAAATGAGTCATTCTTATTTAAGGGGTAGATCGACCACCACAGCTATATTTCAATTTACTACTGCCATTCTAGAGCATTTAGTAAACAAGAATTTACTATTTTTTTCTACTCCCGTCTGTAAAATACCTAATTAATTACACACCGATCTATCGTGCGGGAAGCGTCACTTTACCACGTCAGTGTCATTTCCCACGAACGGATTTGGGAGCAATCGGATGTGTTCGGAGATATTTCCCACGCCGTGAATTTTGACGTTTGTCAATTTTGACAGTCATGTCAAAGAATGTATTTGTGTTGTTTTGCGAAAATGTACCCAAAAACTAACGATCGTAGAAAAAGTATAGTATGCAACACGTTCGGTAAACTTTTTACGTCACTCGTTTATTAAACACTCACTCCGCTCGTATCAAATAAACTCGTGAGTCAAATGCCGTTTACCACACTTGTTGCATAATATACTATTTTCTACTCCCGTCTGTAAAATACCTAATTACACACCGATCTAGCGTGCGGGAAGCGTCACTTTAACACGTCAGTTTGGTTTCCCATGAATCCGAGCCACTTCGGACATTTCCGGGATTTTACAGCACAGGTTTAGGAGCAATCGGATGTTTTCGAAGATATTTCCCACGCTTTGAATTTTGACGTTCGTCAATTTTGACAGTCATGTCAGGGAATATATTCGTGTTGTTTTGCGAAAATGAATCCAAAAACTAACGGTCGTACAAAAAGTATAGTATGCAACATGTTCGGTAAACTTTTTACGTCACTCGCGAGTCAAATTCCGTTGACCGCACTTGTTGCATAATATAGTAATTATGCAACAAGTGCGGTAAATGACATTTGGATGACAAGTTTATCGACTTAAGTTTTGCATACTATGCTTTTTATACGACCGTTAGCTTTTGGGTTCATTATTGCAAAACACAATTGAATAATAAAAATCTTGGATCGGGAAATACGACGTTGAAATCAAATCTGTCTATCTAGCATATTAGGCTGATGTGGATTTGCGAAAGAAACTGCGAGAGTACGAATTAAGTCATTTTGAAATAATTGTAAATATCGGGCTCCAGTAAGATTTGATAGAAGAAAGAAGATCCAATAATTTTATTATTTAAAATCCCAGCCCGAACATTTATTTTTTGTGGATCTTGTGTATGACTTTCTTTCATCCATCGAGGATTGTTTGTACTCCAATACCTACAATTTTGTTTATTTACAGTACAATTTAAACAAAACATGGCTTCATCACTAAACGGTATTGGACAATGAAAATATAGATTTAAGATGCACATTTCCATCATAGGTGCGCAAAAGTGTAGTCTGGATCATCTTCGTTCAGCTACTGTAGTAATTTAATCTTGTGTGGATAAGACTTTTCTTCTTTTAATACAAGCAAAGATGTTCGTTAATTCAGACTTTAAACGATAGTGGTCATCTTTAATTTCTAATAAAAGGTTTAATCTAGTGTTCTCATTAGTTTTTGGACGACCTAACCTTAAAAGATCTTTTATATACCCTGGGTCTATAAATTTTTTCTCTCAAATTTTCTCACTGTGCATCTTCTTATGGATCTTTCTGGATATGTTGTATTAAACAAATTACATACTTCTTGTTCAGTTCTCGTTTTATCTAAATATCCAAGGAAAATGGAAATTTCAATTTTCTGGTTTTCATTTCATTTCATATTCACTTTATTTACTGACAGAAATGTAATGTTGACAATTAAGAACATTACTGGTACTGTTAACTTCTCACCTGTTAATTTCAAAATAAAATGTCTGGTTTTTATTGTTTAGCTCATAAGAAGTAAAAATTGTCTTCCATTAATAAAAAGGAACTTGGTATCGGCATCTACTTTTTGACCCACCCTGTATATTTTCTGTTTATTGTAAAAAAATGCTCAAAATATTTTTTTCTTTAAATCCAATTTTATTCTTTATTATTATAAATTATTATTCCATATTTAAGTCGTTTACGACATGGACGACATAATATTAAAAAGTTCAAAAAGTTCAAAAACAGACGAGCGGCAGTTGATTTAAATCGTCCACGACTTAGCACTCGTAAAGGAGTGCCTTATAGAACTGTTTTTAGCAATGTTCATCGATGTTGATGAGAGAAACAGATGAGTTTCCTACAGTTACGAAAAGAAGAAGAAGTTAAGAAGAAAAGGCAATACCGATATGATTGATGATCAACCTTCTACTAATGTCCGAAGAGTAGATAATAGAGTTAATGTGCTGGATGAGAGTATAGAGAACTTTACTCAATTTCGGTTTGTGCCCGTACCACATCTTACCTGTACAAGCTTTAAAACCGACTAGGCTTCGTGACTTGAATTTAGTCGAATAATATAATTTAGTGATGAAGCCTCATTGACCCGAAATGGTATCAATAACACCAGGAATTCACATTGTTGGGCAATTGAAAATCCACGACAAACTCGGGATTCCATTTTCAAAATTGATTTTCGATGAATATTTGGTGTGGCATTATTGATGACCACCTCATTGGTGCGTTTATAACTGCCACTGCCGTTTATCAGGGCCATTCGTATTTACATTTAATTGAAAATGATATTCCAATATTACTGACTGATGTTCTTAATGTAAGGCAACGAATGTGGATTCAGTACGATGGCGCACCTCTTCACTTTGGTCGATAAATAACAGAATTTCTTTATTAAAATTATACAAACCGGTGGATTGGAAGACGTTATCCTTTAGATCCCTTTTTTATGGGGAAGACTGAAAACATTAGGTCATGCTGAAAGTATTATAAAATTAAAAAAATAAAAGGCTTTCTTTCAAATGCTTGTATCTCAGTTAGAATAGCGTTCCTCTTATATGTTCATTGGACATTTTTAACTTGAAATCACAGCAGTAACATACTCCCAAGCTATGGCAGTCAAGTTGTAGGACACCCTGTCTATCTATCTATCTTTCTATATATATATAATTGTTATAAAAACTATCAAATATATTTTTTTGAAGAATAACGAGTGACCCGACTCTCTCCCCGTGTACGGAACGTCGTTTCTTGAGCGACGCGGTCGACTCGGGCATCGAATCTCCGCCCCCGAAGCCTTCCAGGATTCCCAGTCTGTCTAGAACGGAGTCCGCAGATTCCTCCACCCTGGGGTTCCCCTCGCACGGGGGTCTCCAAAGAGTGACGTCGTATCACGCGAGCGGTTCCGATTCCGGTAACGGATCCGGAGATTCGGCGTTGAGTTCGGCGGCAGGAGACCCCGTGGAACTCCAGAAAGGATCCGGCGTGATAATCAAGAACCCCCGTTACAACATGTCCGCTTCCGAATCGTCTACCACGCTCAAGAATTTCGCCGTCGATTGTTTCGAAGCGGAAGAGAAACTCGCCAAGATGGCCGAGTCGACGCCGGCGCCGCCACCTCAGAGCAGGTTCGACCTGGATATTTTCCAGACGTTGCTGCTCCCCGTCAATGAGAACAAACCGCTTGACGCGCAAGCGTTGCGCAGGATCAAGATGACTCTCCACGAGTCTGGGTCCCGAATCCTGGCGAACCACTTGACCAGGACCGATTTGGATCTGATCTTCGGTAAAGGGGAGGAGCCCAAGCTGTCGAGCGGAATCGAGCTCGCCACCCTACCCCACGGCCGCCAGTTCAGACACGACCTGATAGAAAGGTACGCAAAACGTGTCATTGGAATGTCATCAAGTTATTTAGTGTGTGAATCCGGGAGTCAATAGGACATGAACAAAAGTTATGGTTCAAGCTCTAGCAATAGTTTATTTCTATGCTTTGTGTTTCTAAATCTGGCTCACAGCTTCAACTTTTAAATAGGTACAATAAGCCTAGCTCCATATTAACTTTTAGTTTTAATAAGGTTAGCGAGGTTGATATTAACAAACGTTTGACTTTTATAAATACTAATGCTGCTGAGTTGGACAATCTATCCATAAAAATGATTATTATTACATCAGATCTTATAATTAATAACCTAATATACATCATAAATAAGTGCATTAGATATTCAATATTTTCGGATTTTTGGGAAAATACCATTGCGATTTCACTTCTAAAAAATTTGAATCCCACTGACATATAAAAACAAATTCCTATCTTACCTACTGTATCCAAGGTTCTAGAAAAAAATATGCATTCACAAATGAATGACTTCTAATGGAAGAACAAAACGCGCGGATACACAGTAAATCTTTTGTAACTTTCAATGCGCGAAATGAAGGATCTTGTCTTATTCTGCTAAATTACAACATTCTTTGTCAAAGGTTCTTTGTTTGGTTTTCAAATCCTCTAAATTAATCAACTCTTATTTTGACAAAAGATCCCAACAATAATGGTAAATCTAGCATATTTTTTATGACACAGGGTGTTCTCTAAGGCTCAATCTTGGGACCTCTGCTCTTTCCTTATCTTCTGTAGCCATATTGACATAAGTTGACTACGTCATCAATCTTCTAAACTTAAAAATGAGCGAATCGAATTGTGAAATAATGGGTTCCAACTTTAAACAATCTCTGATTCAGTTTATGGCGCAGCTTTAATGGCGAGGGATACTGACACACTCCAGAAAGTTCCGATTATTTTTTTTACAATATTAGAAGTTTAGCAGGATCAGTCAAGTTATAGATACAGAAACAGAAACGTCTGAAGCTTAACTCCTGGAAATAGCTTCGCTACCTCAATATTACTTTCAAAACATTCAAACCAATTATTTGTTAACAAGTTTTGTATCTTTTATACAGCTAAATAGTACTCATATACGAAAAAAAAAAACAGTTACTTCTTTTACCTTGACATAACACGGCATTATTTGAAAGATATTTTTCATACAAAGCTACTAAATCAACAAATTACCAGTATATTTTTTGGCTTATCCTTACTTAATTACCAAAAAAAGTTAAAATTATTTACTTTTTATTATAACTATATACTTGTATAAGAACTGATTGCTTAGATTTATGTCCATGAGTGTTTTTTCTTTGAATACAAAAGGTTAAGTTCGACAATCGCCCTTTGGGTGATACTTTGCCTATTATCCTATTTTATTTCTTAATTTGTCATGATTGTAATTGTAAAGTTTCTTACTTTTTGGATAATAAAGGCGCAATAATACTAGTAGTAATAATAATATAAATAATAATAAACTAAAACTAACCATAATTATTAACCTAATACTGCTAGTTTCAACATTTTTTGACCTTGCGTTGCCTGAAAAGATTTAGTTGGCAATAAAGGAATTTATTAATTTATTTAAATTTGTAACTGCAAATATGAAGCAACTATTCTGGGGTTTTTCATTAGCAGTATTACTTTCTCTTTCAGAACTCCAAAAGGTTTTTTTTATTTCATTTTATTCATTATTTCACTACACAATATCACACCTTTAAATATACACTTGAAAAATTTACATGAAAAAAAAATGGAAGAAAGAAAATAAAAATTAACAATTACGGCAGAAGCTGGACAATAACGATACACTTTAATTAAATAATAAACCAAATAAATAAAGAACTTTAAACTCTTTTTTTTTAATAGACACACAAAACACAAACAGAACAATAACTTATATTGAAGCAGCTTTAACTGGACAAATCCAAATTATATGCAATAAGCACAGAAATAGTTTATTTTAATCTTTTTATTAAAAAACAAAATTCAAAATCAATTTACTTCTCCCAAATATTATCAATATGATCATGGTTGAGACATAGTACCACCTATCACAACTATTTGTTTTCTGGCAATAAGATAATATGCTGCACAAGACTACAACCCCTCCTATGCCATGTGCAAAAATGTATCTAATAAGGACTTGTTTATACTGTCCACTGCGCTGTTTAACTCATAAACTAAACCTACAGCCAATGCTTCACAGCTATCTGTCAAACATACTCTCCATGATGGAGTCCAAATACAATGTCAGGCGGTTTTCAGGACGGAGTGCCTAAAATTGCTGGTCGCTGTCAGTATTCTGACCTGCGCGGACGAGTCGGAACGAACAGAGACTCTCAATAAATGGATAGAGATCGCTATCGACACGAAAACGGCGCTGGGCAATCTCTACGGCTTCTGCGGGATTATGCTGGGACTTTGTCTGCCTCAGGTGAGCACATTACTTGTCAGGACTTTTATGTGGACCTGAAAACACTGACTCAGCTGCAATATTTTTAAAACGTACATCACAGTGTGCAACAATACAGTTCCCTAGATAATATTTTTTATAGGTCAACCGGTTTGGAATACGAATTTTATCTCACAAAAACTTCTATTGGTGAATTGTTCTTGACAAATAGCTATTAGATAATATCATATAGTTGCTAGAGATATAGAGGCCCTGTCTATGCCGATAATCCAGTGACGTATGAAGCAAGATATGAGAAAGTCCATTCAATATGAGCATGTGCGAGATTTGAAATCTTGCTTTTAGCCAACAACCTTGCAGCATTCAATGACCAACATGGCCGCTCACAGATCGTCAATAAGTTTGGATCCGGAACTTTTACGAGAGTATTCTCTCAAAATATGCCTGAATCTTATTAAATGTTCTAGGAAAACGAATTAAGCTTGCGGGAAAAAAAATGGCGCAAAGTGCAGGTTAGTGGATAAAATATAGCGGCATGTGCTGAAAATCATTCCCTTCCCTAGGAAAATATCAATTCCGCCTGTGACGCTTCAATTTTTACCATAGCAGGGCTACTATATTATCTAATAGCTATATAGATAATATAGTGGCCGTACCACGATAAAAATTGATGCGCCCTAGGTGGCTATATTTTTAGTAGAGGAAGGAATGATTTTCCGCGCATGCTTCTAAATTTCACCCACTAACCTACACTTTGTGCCATTTTCTTTCTAAACAGCGATATCAACACACATCACTCCTTTTTGCCGGAAAGTATATTGCAATTTTGACATATTTTGAGAAAATACTGTCAGTGGTCATGTGAGTCATGAGAATGCCATCAGTGATTAAAAACGAGATTGTAAATCTCGCGCATGCGGATGCTGAACTATCCTGTACTATCAGCATAGGTGTATCTGTATTTGCTTCCTGATAGTGACGCAATACTTAAAAATTCTGTTAAATCACGTTAGTGTGAATAGAGGATATTTTTTTACTCTCTCGTTCTCGACTACAATATAGCGCGTTCCAGACAAAACCAAGCGCCTCTTAACATTCGGATGCGTTTCGGCACCTATGTACCGGGTGACATAAGAAAGTAGCGATTTGAAATTTGGAAGGGCTAATGTAGACTGAATGGCCAATCTTTTGACATTATATAGCAAATCATCCCACTTCCGATTTGGGCGGAAACGACAGTAATTTTCAAATTTTAAATAGCACAACCTATAACTTTTGCATTTTTGCATTCAGGGCATCATTCCACGTAGGATAGGACGGTTTTTCTCTTTTTTCTTCTTTTTTTAAATTTTTATTTAATTTTTAAAAAGTGCGTTTAGGAGGCTGTGACCATCATAAATACTATTTTTCTACTCCCGTCTGTAAAATACCTAATTACGCACCGATCTAGCGTGCGGGAAGCGTCGCTTTACCACGTCAGTTTCGTTTCCCACGAATCCGAGTCACTTCGGACATTTCCGGAACTTTACCGCACGGGTTTGGGAGCAATTGGATGTTTTCGGAGATTTCCCATGCTTTGAATTGTGACGTTCGTCAATTCTGACAGTCATGTCAGTGAATGTATTGGTGTTTTGCGAATGCTGGAATTGGAAATGAAAAATCCACAAAATAATCGACATGATAATTTTACTATACTATGATAATTTACAAATGGAGAAAAAGTTGATATATTTCTGATATGCGGGGAATGCAGAAGAAATTCTTTCTTTAGAAAGCTGGAATTGAAAATGAGAAATTCACAAAATAATCGACATGATAATTTTATTATAAGTGAAGAAATGGAAATGAATATTGAGGGGTATGTCAACGGAAATCCAGCTGCATCGCTAAAAGAAGTGGCATTAGAATTAGACATCTCGAGAGAATTTGTGAGGAGAATTTTAAATAAACACGGCTATCATTCTTTTAAGTATAACCTTCATCGATTCTCAAATAATGCTATGTATAACCTACAGAACAACAAATACAGGTCTTTAAATAATCAAAGAATTATTCGTTCCGGACAGTTTCAAGAACGGTTCAGAATCGATGTTTGGGCAGGAGTGATAGGAAGGCGAATTATTCCACCTGTTTTTTTTTTTCATGGTTCCTTAACTGGTACACGATATTTACAATTCCTAAGAAATGAAATTGAAGACTCGTTAAATCATTTACCTCTTGCCGTGACATTAAATAGAGATGTCACTGAACACCTACGTGATGTTTATGGAGATAGACTAATCTCAACACATGGTCCAGTCAATTGAATATAACTTTTTTTTTAAATACTAATCCATTTTTTTCGTTCCACCGCATGAGCTAGTCGAGAGTTTCTTCTGCATTTTTAATCTTACCGGGTTAACAATTAATTATGGATAGAAGCAAAGTCACCTAAGTAATATTTTCTTTTTATAAAAATGTGTTTTTTTCCTTCCTGTGAGCTTATTTTTTAACGGATTTTGAAAATTTTGGTGTCAAAATCTTGCAAAAAAACACCGGTTTTAAAAGGTTTTTGTTCACACTAGGATGCTATTTTAAAAAAACTAGGTTATTCTAAAAAATTATAAGTTCATTAAATTAAATGCTATTTGTCATTAGACAAGTAAAAAAAAAAGTTTCATTTACAATTTCTCCCATGATCAGGTGACCCAGTAAATAATATTTATTATGGTCAATTTAAAAATACAAAAAAAATGAGAATAACCGTCCTATCCTACGTAGAATGATCTCCTGAACCCGAAAATGCAAAAAAATATAAGTTGTGTCATTTAAAATTCGAAAGTTAATGTTATTTCCGCTCAAACCGGAAGTGCAACCAGTGACTACATATTGTCAAAAAATGGACATTCAGCCTGTATTAACCCTTCGAAATTTCAAATCGCTATCCCAAGCCGTCTAAAAGTTATATAGTGTTCCCACTTTCTTGTGTCACCCGATATATAAACTTCAATTTCAGATCGAAAGTTTAAACACCACGTGGCACATGCTGCGCCAGAAGCACACCGATTCGGCGTTCAACTTCGAGGCGAAACTCCGACCCACCCTCAAGAACATGAACAGTTGTTCAAACCCGCAGGCACCCAACACCACTATACCCCACCTACTCCCGTTGATCCTGCTCCTCGAACGCGATCTGCAATGTTTCCTGTCTCCGGCCGACCAAAGCCAATTGGCGCATAGTTGCCTGAGCATGTGGGAGTCCAATATGCAAGACTTCGGCCTGTCGACGCTGCTGAATCACCTACAAGCGGCTCGGAAGTACACCGATTTGCACCACACCTACCAGAGGAACGCCGAAATCGTTTTGGACGAAGCGAGGATGGACGAACTCACCCTCGACATGTTCAAGACCGAGTTTCACCTAAAATTCCTCTGGGGCAGTAGGGGCGCGTACGCGGAGGCGGCCGAACGGCACCACAAGTTCGAACAGGTGCTGTCGGTGATGGCCGAGAAGTATTGCAACCTGAAAAACGACGAGGAAGTCTAATTTTGCGTTTTCGAAAAATCAGTTCGTCAATTATGTTTGATTTCTTTTATTTTAGCGGTGCAATCAAATAACTCAATTTACTTAGGAATAAGTAGGAACAAGAGCTTTAAAACAAAAGTTTTCGATAACATATACACATACTGTATACAGTACTTAAAATTTTTAAATTTAGTAAACGACGCGTCGACGCACTGCCATTTTACGAACCGAAAACTGCTTGACACTGCACCAAACTAATAAAACGCTCGTTTCGTTTTTACTTGCGCGCGCATCCATGGTTAGGGTTTAAGTGAGTGTTTCTAGTCGAATTTCAAAAATGAATCAAAAACTGTATACACTCAAGTAGCGGTTAATTTTTTTACATATCATACCGTTAAAAATTTTGATACATTGTTTTTTCGCAAAGCACTCGCCCGTTTTGACATCGAGAGCTTCGTAGAGCTTTTTCGAAGCGATTTTTGTATACCGAGCTTTAACGGATAGTTCTTAGGTTTTTGTAAATGGTGCTCATTGGTTTACCTGTTGAAACAAATGTTTAAATTAATATATAATAAATTAGTTAATCGCCACAGTTGTTGCGTTAACTTGGATTTTCCGACAATACCGTACGAAGACTGCGTTTCATACCCTCTTTTCGCTTGCGTATAAACTTTGTTACAAATTTGAGGCCGAACATGTCTTCAGTAATAATTTCTTTTCCACTGCAAATACCACAACATTATACAGGGTGAGTCCTTTGAGTTCTGCTGCAAAGTTAGTTGCCAGGGCTATCCTAAGGCTCCAACCAACTAAACTTTTTAATACATTGACATTTCTTCTGTTCAGTTTTGCACTCTGTATGCAAACTAAAAGCGTATTTGTTTGAGAAGTGACGATCAATTTTGACTTTTGGAATATTTTTGTGATCTAAAAAAATTTTATCATAATTTTTTAAATGTTTATTGTCAGTGCTATCATATGATTTTGTGATATATCTTTAATATGTGAGATATTCAGTATTGCATCTGCCAGCTCTTCGCTTGCAGATTTTCATATATTTTTCAAAAAAAATCGGTATTGAAATTAAAAAAGCTCATTATGCCTCTACTTTCAAAGGATAATTGAAATAAATCATCCTGTATAATCCAGCAATTCTTGGTCTGCAATGGTTTCTCATTCCAATTATAAAGCAATATAGATGAGAATAGTAACTTTGCTGAGGACCATAAAACATTAATTCAAGAATGATTCCTATAAAAATAGTTAATTTGAACTACTTAGCTTAAATCGATATTCAACTGCTTATAGAAAACTCTTGGATTTGCAATTTTTTCGTAGGCACTATGAAAAGTTGCTCACATGAAACGACAAAATGCTTGGTAAGCGACTGAATTGTGATTTTTTTGTATAATTTCCGGTAACACGACATTTATGTGATTTTATTGTACATTAAATAAATACGTTAGCTGTAAGAAAATGTATTTAACGAAAATATTGTGTACCATATTAATATATATAAAGTCAAACAAAATGTAGATTTAATAATTTATTAACGGGTCTATGTAGGATATAGTTTTGTGAGTTGAAAGAGTAGCAAACTTTAACAAATTGTAAGGAAAACAATGTATAGGGAAATTCTGTGTAATTCACAGTGTTTGAAAATGTATTAATAAACATGCTATCTAAGCAATGGTGTTTTATTTTAACTGATTTTTTAACAATTCCTCACGTACATGTTGTGGAATTCTTATTCGTTTCCGCCTTTCTTTTCCCGTGTCAGTTTTAGCCGTTTGCAAAGGCTGCTGCGCTTTTTTCTTATTGCTGGCAAGTGCACAGTGCTTTTTGTTTTTTCTCTTTTTAAATCGGCTTCTGTCTACTTTGGGGCCATCGGTTTCCTTTAGCCTCTGCAAGGCTTGTATTTCTGATTCAGTTAGTCCAGCCATTTTCTGTTTCGCCATTTCGACAGATATGGATGAAGCTTTTTCCAATACAGGAGTTTTCATGTGTAGGTAGAGCAGAGGCACTCCTGGTAAACTTCGAACTTCGTTTTGCAACTCCCGATCTTGAGTACAGAGTACATAATGGCTTTTGTTATCTTTTCCCAGCATGGAAAGCAAACATTTTGAACCCGGAATTGGTTTACCTTCGTGTCCACACTTGTGCACAACATACTGTTTTAATATTAACAGGGCTCCATTTAACTTATGACCTAACTTCTCCAGTTCTATGATAGAACATTGAGTGGTAATGAGTTTAGTCTCTCCTTGCAAATACTTAGGTATATTGTCCGCGACGTTCACCTTATTCTACAATAACCCCACACGCATCATTGGTAGAATAGGTTATTACCTTTAAATTTGTTTACTTACATTTAGAGCGGCGTAACAAAATGTGCCATCTACCAGTAGTTGATACGGTTGTCTAAAGCCAAAATTATTGATAAAAAAACCTAATGTTTTATTTAATTTTTTGTACCGCCGGATTTTCATTTTGATAACTAAAGAACTTCTTAATTTTGTAAAAAATTCATAAAGACCATTTGTGACACTGCATTTCCGAGTTACTATTTAAACAAATTACAAAATATGCTGCATTCTGAGGTTAGGAATACGAAATCCACATAATTCGTCTACGACGATTTGGACTAGGGACCTACGTACCACTGACCTTATAAACAACTATGGACAAGCACCAATAAAAGTTAAAGAAAAAACAATAAGCTGGCAACACTGAAAGCAATCACTTCGCTTCTAAAATAACCTAAAATGTTATTTAAAATAACGTTCAAGTTTAAATCAATTCAAACTTAATTATCACATGCTTAAGGGTACATGTTAATTATATTTTTTTATAAACTATGTCGAAATCAGAATTACTTTCAAATGATCAAGAAAATCTCGAAGAGTTATACCCATTATTTCTTGAATTGAGTGAACAACGCAACAAATTACAAGTCAAGAAAATAACTCCTCCGGAACTTAGACAATCTCGACAATTGTATGGTATGACTTCATCTAGTGCTTGTAAGAACGTAATTAACAAATTAAATGAATTTCTATTTTGCAGAATGTGTCCATAAAACTGTTTGTGAAGCAAAGCAAACATACCTCAAACTGAGCAATGACCTTGAAGATCTAGCAAGTGTTGATGCCAATAATACACTTTTAATAGGTTGTCAAAGTGGTCCCTACCTAGTTGAAATTAAACAAGCTACGGAGGATATAGCTAAGGAATTAAGTAATGGATTAAAGGAACCAGTAACTATTTCCTTACCAAATTCTCTTTGATTACTGTCTCTTTGAATTTTTAGGAGTATGAATCAGAGTGTGATGTTTTGGAGGGTTATTTTACTTTAAGGGAGGAAACAGATCAGTTTCTGAAAAATTTGGAATACATAAAAAAATTTCTTCGGAAGCTCAAAACAGATGATTCATCTACCATAGGTATGGCCAAAATTTTTAAAGAGTTCTACAAAGTTTTAAACAAAGTATGTTTGTTATTAACCTGTTTTTTTTACAGAGCCACCAGATTTTTTTGAGAAGGCTTTTGCTTCATCACCTAATCCAGAAAATGAAACTAATTAAGTTATGAGTTATTTATAAGAGGTGTAATGGAATGACATTGTAGTATTTCAAATTTAACATTTCTAAGCAAAGTTAATAAAAAATTGGATAATTATTAATTTTTGCTATTTTTATTTTCATTTGTTATAAACTTGAGTATTTTAGGATATTTGCATTATACATAAGGTACTTTGTGAGCCTTTAGAGAAAGAGCATTTTGTGTTATGACATAGGTATTAATTTTATAACTGGTCCAGATTGATGTTTTTCTGCAGTTAATCCAAGAACTCTCAACGATCCCATTTTACGAGATTTTTGTGATCATTCGTGTTCTTATGGGCCAATATTTTCAGTCCTACGGCCTTGATGATTTTTATATTCTGTTCTATGGGTAGGCTTCACTCTTGAGGAATGCAAACAATTTAGGGTAGTTCTAAAAGACCCGGTTTGTAAAACAACTTTGGCAATTTTTTGGCTAATGTTTATTTAAGAAACAGAAAAAAGTAAGTTTGCAGTTTCATGTGGGCTTTACAAATTGGCACACATTCAAGATGATTTTTATAAAATTTATCCTATGCATTAAACACTGCGATTTGTGTATTGTTTTTTAGATCAGTTTCACGTTTTTTTTAGCAAAAATCCGCTATGTCGTCAGTTGTAGTCCCCGACGAAAATCTTATTCAATCAATGTAAGTTGAAAATTTTTAGGTTATGTTACTTATATACCACAAAAATGTTACAGAAAATATGCTGGTCCAGAAAGTGAATTTGTCACAGAACTGCTAGGTCAAACTGTTAATATTCAATGTAGCGAGGGTATTCACAATCACGGCAGTTCCAAAGTTAAACTAGCTGATCGAATAGATTATAATTGGGAGTTTAAATATTACCATGGGCATCTTGTAGCTGCAGATATTACTGGGAAGATCATTGCCTATGCCATGAAGGGAAAGGAAGGTGGAATGATTAGAGTGACAGACCAAGAAACAAATGCTAAAAGGACTTTAATAAAAAATTTCAAGGAGGATATAAAAGATTTGTCTTTTTCTTACTCAAGGGAAGAAATCATTCTTGGCTGCATTGATTGTGAAGGCAACATACTTGTTTATCAAATTGTAGATGATGGAGATACATTATCGTATCCTTTTTAAAAATTGTTATTGCTACAGAATTTTCTGACAACGTTTAAATAATAGTTCTTCATTTACTTAACAAAATGTTAGTTACAAGCAGCTGTTACACATTTATCACGTGGAACATGTTAGACCAAAGGTGAATTTTAGGTTAATATGGTGTCCATACCTTCCCAGCTATGATGAAGATACAGATGCAGGTGATGACCCTGAAAAAATGTTTGTTGTCCTAAATGGAACAAGAGGTAATGTTCTGTCATACTTATAACACAAAAGAAAAATTTCTCTTTATTCATTTAAGCTGAAATTTATAACTTGACGATGTTAACTTCCAAATATGGTTCTGGCACATTGGACCCCAATGACACTTACGAGGGCTATATTGAAATTAATCACAGTTCAGAATTGGTAGATGCATCATTCTCCTCTGATGGAACTGCTATTGCTATAGCCTGCCTAGATGGTTATGTCAAGTTTTTCCAAGTATTCACTTACAGTGTTAAATTTGTCTACTATTTATATATATATATATATTTTTAGCTATATATGTTTGATGATGAAAAACAAAAGTGTCTACATGAATGGCAGCCCCATAATGGCCAACCATTAACATCAATCATTTTCATTGACAATGTTTTAGAATACAGTTCTGAGTATGTTGTTGTAAGTTCTCTTCGGCAAGTAGTGATATGTACTTTTAGGTGTTGGAAATTTGCTATTACTGGAGCAAACAATAATTCTGAGATCAAACTGTGGTCTTGTGAAACTTGGACTTGTCTACAAACAATCTATTTTGTCCCTAATCCAAAAAACATCATACAGGATCTCTTCCTGACTGTATCCATAGATCACACTGGCCAGTTCTTGGTTGTAGCTGATATTAATAACCGGGCCTTATATATTATGCAGCTCAAAAGGTAACCAGTAGTTTTTTAATTTTGGCTAAAATTAAATGCCTCTTTTAATTGTTATGATTGTCTAGTTAAATCTCAAAATCCTAATACCTCTAATTTGGTCTTGAATATGAGGTGGTGTACAATTATTTGTTTAAAGTGACTGTTACTGAACACCTGAGAGATCTGTGATATATGTTTTTTATTCCTAACTTGTATTCATAATTTATGTTATTTAGTCGTTTATTATTATTATTATTTTTCTTTTTACTGTTTGCCTATAATTATATTATATTTTTAAATGCTTGTAAAACTATTGTATTCTCTCTTGTAATTACACCGAAACTATCTGTTATACAATAAAGCATTATTATTATTAAGGAATGATGAAGAGCAAGTGGTGTGTGTGACAGTTTTGTCACAATTCCTGCTTCCCGCACCATTTCTGAGCTTCCATGTATTGGATGCGTGCACAAAGAATATTCCTTTGTGCTATAGCAACAGCACTGAAGATGTATATGATAATGAGGATCTCTTCGATGAAGATTCCGAAATAACTGTAAGCTCTCTCACTTACTCTGCATTTGTTAAAACCACAATTGGCTGGTGGGTTTTATAGGTGACCAGCTTAAAAATGTTGGTTATCCAACCCAAGAAGTTCCAGGACTGCAACATAACGTTCCAGCCAGAGTCACTCATGCGCGGAGGGGTATCAGTTCTTGAGAAGCTGACCGATCCCCTATTTGAACTTAGAAATGGGAAAAAGGATGATGAAGAGGAAGTTGAAAAGATTCCTGAATTGGATGACCTCCAATCATCGGTCAGCTTATTGATTCAGCAGCAGGAACAACAGATGAGTTCCAAACTCACATTAATGACACCTGACGATTTTACTTCAGCTGGCAAAAATAGTTCAAGATCTAGCAGGTTGGTTTTGGGTTGATTTGTCAAGATGAATTTAAGTACAGTAAAATTGTTTGTTAAAAGTTGGCGTGTAATGATATTAATATATATAATTATAATTACAGAGCAATGAAAGTATTTTTTACATCTAGTAGTCCTCTACGAATTTTAAGTTGTGCTTGTACATTTGAATTGTTTTACTCAGTGTCCGAAATTCCCTCACAAACGATGCTGCACTGTGTGAACCAATGCAAAAACTGAATGAAGAGCTGATATCTGAGCTGCACAAACCTCCCAAGGATACTTTTGCTAGCGCGGGGTCGAGTCCCAGTCGGGAAGTACAAGAGATACTGTCATTAAACAACTCGGGCAGTAATTATGGTACCGACGAATATTTCAATAACCTTGCCAACTTACAGGTAAAGGTAATCAGGCGATTAATTTTTTTGGTGTGAGACTTCTCATAATTATTCTGTAATTGTTTAGGACGAACAAGAAGTTCCGGAAAAAGATTATTCAGAATCCGGGGACCCAGTTGGGTACCAGGACCCCGTCAACTGGCCAAAAATTCCCGTCGTCAATGAAGATGTCGTCAATAAGAGCAGCGACATGAACAGTCAGGACATGGAAACGGTGTATTTTAAGATAAGCGCGCTGGAGGGGGTAATTCGCGAGCAGAGTCTGCTCATCCAGCAACTGCACCAGGATATGAAAGTCGTAACGCAATCGGCGACGAGAAACAACCACAAGGACATTGACAAGGAGGAGTTGATTAAAGAGCTGGATTGCGCCATGGCCAAGCAACACCTGCAAATAGCTAAGATGCTTGAGAATCTCATTAACCTGCAGAAAAACAAAGACAGAGACTTGCATGTGTGTTTTTGTTTTTGTGAAATTTTTCAAGACTCAAGCAAATTGATTGCAGGACCAGTTGGTGGGTGCTGTCGGCCAACTACTATCCAAGTCACTGGCGGAAAAATTGCAGCATGAAATGAAGCACTCGATGTTGCCGACGGTGCACGCACTGGCAGACTCCTACCGGCACCAGGTCGACGACCAATATACGCAAAAATTCGCAGATATTGACAAAATGGTAAAGGAGAATTTCGCAAAGGTCATCAACAGCAAAGTAAGCGTTGAGCTTGGGGGTCATTTAGTGTTGCCAATGTTACTTTCTTTTCAGTCCCTGACAGATTCCATTAGTTTATCGGTTGTGAATCTAGTGTCGCCCACCCTGGAGAAGTGTTACCGGGACATAATATCATCCTCGTTGCTGCCATCTTGGGAGCGCATATGCGGACAAATGTTCCAGCAGATAAACGAGACATTCACAAAAGGAACAAAGGAGTGTAAGTTGCTAGATAAGTGTTCAAGTACATAATATTCTCGTTCTATGTGTTTCGATGAACATTTACATACAATATATGCCTTGCCTATTAAACCCATTGACCTAACACGTAAAAAAGACTGTTCACCTGAAACTTGATAATCCGTTATTTACCTGGCGTTCTCCTCAACAGACACAGCATCGGTGGAAAACTACATGGACCGGCAAAGGAAGGTGCAAGACAAAGGCAAAGACATGATGGTCCAGATGCAGACCATATCAGATAGCATGAAAGCGAACAGCGAAGCGTTGACCAGCGTTCTGTGTGGCGAGATACACAAGCAATTCAGTGCCGCCCTCAAAAGGTTTTTGCTATACCCAGTTTCTTAATGGGAGAGAGTGAAAAAATGTAAAATTGCAATAACACGATTCATGCAACACTTAGAGGTTATATTATATTATATAAATTTCAAATTTGCTAGTACCTGATGAGTGCTTCCCTTTTACGCTTTTAATTATATCAGTAGTTTCATGAATATTTACATCTGTCGAATGAGTAGACTTGTGGTTGGCAATGTGTACATTCTAATTAAATCATTTCCTACACCTCTTTTAGTGAGAGAATCTATCTAGTTATCTAGTTATTAGTTGTGGTGCTTTGTGGATCATCTTTAAAACTTTTAGGATAAGTTTTTTTTCGTTTTATATTAATTTCATTCTTAATTATCCTCCCAGCTTGCTTTGCCCTTTTTTAAACTTTAACCGTATTTTACCAATGGTATATCGTTCATGGTATAACCCAAGATTCCCTTTGAAATTGTCTAAATTGTCGTCGCCAGCAGCTAATTTCCATCGTTGACGGTCGTTCAAGTCTCCTTCATTAGCATCTTAAAGGTTGTCACGTTTTCTTCTTTGGTCTGGAGTTCACTGCCATATTCATTTTGGCCATCTTGTGTCTTACATCCGCCAATTTATTCTTTCTCTATTAAAAGTGATTTTGTTTTGAACAAAAATTCGTTTCCTTCAAAGTTTTCAACAGTTTCTTCTGTTTTCTTTTTCACTTCAGACATTATTTTGTTTGAGGTGGGTATTTCTTTTTTTTTTTTAAGTAAAACGAATGGATTATTCTTCTAATGGCAGTATTGTTATTTTCATTTAATACAGATTCTTTTCTTCCTGTATTTCTTTTTGGTGATCTGATGGGGCCGCGTTGTTCCTAGTGCACAAGGCAGCATATTGTTTATTGTCCAACCCCCATCGTATTGAAATATGTTTCCACAATTTTGCAACTCAATTCAGAAATGCTAGCCATTTTCAAGATAGAACTGTGCTAACAATTGCCAGAAAGTAACTTGATTCTATAATTCTAATTTTAAACACTAACTCACAGTTGAGTCAGCTACGTGTACGTCTGTCTACCTGCCACTCTCGGAACTGTTGACAAACATCATACTCGGACCACTAAGTTTTACAATTTAATAATGATGTCTTGCATTAGGAAACGAAGCGTGGTGCGTTTCGTTGATAGATACACAGGGCGTTAAAAAAAGTCGCGGCAATTAAGGGGTTGTTTCCTTAAATTATTTTATTATAAAAGTTCCCAAAAATGTAGGTGCCGAAATATATTGTTCCGAAGATAGAGGGGGGGGGGTGTTAAAGTTTTTCAAATTAATTCTTCTCACGGATTTGTTTGAAATTTGGTAACCTTGTTTCTAGTGATAAGGAGCTGATTTGGCCCTAACTAAATAAAAATCTAATGGTGTTATGGGGCGGGGTGGGCAACTGCGTGCGAGGTGGAGACTTAACGGTTTTTTAGTCTATGTGCACGCAAATATTGTTGAAATTTAAAAAAATGCTTTTATGAAGTATCGCAATTAAATTAAAATCAGTGGCGTATCAATCATATCAACAAATTTTATAAATTTGCCCCCTCCCCTAATGCCACTGTTTAATTTTTATTTAGTTAGGGCCAAATCAGCCCCTTTTCACTAGAAACAATGCTGCCCCCTTAAATATTGCCGCGTGTTTTTTAACACCATGTATATGGCGGAGGTCTGTTGCAGCGTGCAAGACAAATTGGTGCAAAAAATTAAGGAAACTGTCAGCGTCGAAGTGAAACAGAGCTTCAAAAATCATGCGGCCATCCTCGAGGACAGTGTCATCAACGCCGTGCGGTCCAGGGCTGTTACGCCCGCCCCTCACGCCGACTCTCACGTACGTTACCGCTTTCAGTAACCCGCTTGCTTTCGATCTTTCTGCTTCGTTTTTATTTCTTTTTTTATTTAAGTTTTATTTAGACGCGTTGTTTTGTTTAGTTGCCGAATAAAATTTTTAGTTTCGTTTTCGCAACACGCTGTTTTAATGCATCTTGACCTTACTTTAGTTAGGGAATGGTATGGTGGAGGTATGGTAGGATAGTTGGCGACAGAGGCGACATGTAGGGCGTTTGGGTGGAGGTAATCGGGCGTTTTGGGGGGTTAATTTCGCCTTTGGTTAATCAAGCAACAAAGTTTTATTCTCCGGAGTACAGACAAAACAGCTTATTTAGTTAGATTCAAAATTGAGGTTTTATTGAAAATTTGCCCTTAATTTACGTTTTGGAGATGCTCAATCAACTGGCCATAAATATTTCTATCCTTTCTGTAAATCACTATCCTTGAAAGACTAGTTAGAGTTTTAAGCAGCTCTGAGAAGAAAAAACTGTACCAAGTGTCCAAGTTAGCATATTTTTCCGGAGTAGTTTAGCCTTATTTTTATGGATAGAAACTGACGGTTTTCGGCACCAGATGTGCAAATTTTCCATGAAATTAAATATACCGTTTCCAACACTTATGCTTTTTATTTATTGGGATACAGAGCATTTTTAACTTCTCAACGTGCTGTGCAAATTCCTGGGTAAGGGTTCATCCTTATTAGTAGGGATAATTTTTGTTACAAATATACTATTTTTGACTAATCAAAACAGTTTTTCTCGGTTAACAATAACAAGAAGCATAACATTTTCAAAAATGCCTACGAGGTTTTATTATAAAAGTAAATTCATAACAACTGTTTTGTAGCATAAAGTAAGAATATAACAAACCCAAAAAATAGCATTCTTAAGAAAACAAACTTGTAATTCTTTGAGTAACATTAAAAATCATGGAAGACATCCGTTAGTACATATCTATCTTTGAGGGAAATTGTTCTCAAGCACTGCCCCTAAGAGTCTAGAGCCGTGACTCTTAATAACCAACCTTATATGTTTTTGTGTAGTTCTGGAATAACTACCTCAAAGATTTCTAGACCTACTATTAAATTATGCATTTAATTTTAGAAAATTACCATTTATTGCGTGTTTCTGAAAAAAAGTTAATACAAGGATATACTTTTTAAATCGAAAAACGGGGTATTACAATTAAAAAATAAGTTGGATAGATCGGGTCACTAACACAAAAGTCATGAACAGAATGATGAAAAATAAAGAAATCGTTGCTAACATCAATATTAAGAAACTCTCATACTTCGGCTATGTTCTGAGGCATCCTGAAACGTACAACATCCAGGACTTGATCATTCAGGGCAAAATTGAGGGAAGACAAGGCCCAGGAAGAAGAACATCTTTGCTGAAAAACCTACGCCAGTGATTCGGATAATCAACTAATACGCTGTTTAGGACCGCGGAAAATAAGGTATTGATAGCCAACATGATTGCTAAAATTCGGTAAAAAACGGATATGACACGTCGAGAAGAAGAAGAAGACAGTTAAAAAACATAAGTCTAATCTATAACTTAAAAATAGTAAATGTGTAGCAAAAATTATTTACTCCACTGCATTTTACTGAAAAATATCTACAAAAATGTTTTGTTGTTACATTGTTAAAAATGCCCTGTATCTTAAAAACTAAAAAGGCTATGAAAACGTTGTTAACCGCATTTTTAATTTTACGAAAATAACGGAGATACGCCTTTCAAAAGTACCCAAAATAGGACACGCTGTACATCTACTGCGAGAAATTTCGCGTTTTTTTAGATATTAGAGAAGCACGTTTTTAATGTAACATTTTTGGGATAGTCGCGACAGTAGGTTCCTTTCTTTTTGGTTAACGACGTGATCTGATTTGACATAAAGGTGGATATCGCTATGGAAAAATTATTTCGTTCAACAAACTTTCACTTGGGAGGTGTCCATGAAAGTTCTTCGCTGTTTTGATAAGAGCAATTTTTTTTTAGGTTGGCAATACCATACGAGAAAGAATTGACCGGGTAGGTATATTCAGCTCAGGCGTTTATTCAGATAACACAGTGTACGAAAACGCCAAAAGTATTCGTTCGGCTGCCGTTCACTAATTTGTATGGCTGTTACAGCTTCGCATTGCTAATTCATTGCCGTTACTTTTTGCAATGACTTTTGATTGAATTTGTAACTTTACTTTTTCGGTAGTTCTAAATCTGCAAAGTTTATTGTTGAACAATAACATCACCGAACCAAAACGTTCAATCAGTTTTAGTCCACCGTATATATCATACGACCCACAAAATCCATTCAAAAGTCATCCCTCGTGATTCGGTAAAATCGTTAATGATTAAAACGTAGCTGTTTCAGATGACGACTCTAAGCCACATCCAGCAGTGCATCAACAGGGGCGAATACGATGAGGCATTCCAGATGGCGCTCTCGGCAGAGAACTTAACCTACGTGATATTCGTCTGCGAAAGGGTAGACGTCGGTAAGGTGTTCGGGGAAAGTTGTGCTTTGTCCCAGAGTGTCCTTCTGGCTCTCATTCAGCAACTTAGCATGGAGCTGCACAAAGACACAGAGACTAAACTCAGGTGATTTTTTGCAGTATTTATTCTAGCACACAAAAAACACATATCTCTATATCTAACGCAAAATTTATCAGTACAAATGCATTAGTAATTATTGATTTCTGTTACTTGAATACTTTTTGAGGTTAATGTTCATTTTTTCCAGACCACTTTCAAGAATGTGAGGTGGTAACATGTACCAGGTGACACAACAAAGTGGGAACACTCTATAACTTTCAAACTGCTTGAGATAGCGATTTGAAATTTGGAAGGGTTAATATAGGCTGAATTTCCAATTTTTTGACAATATAAAATCAATGGTTGCAGTACCGGTTTTAGCGGAAACGACAGTAACTATATATTTTTTGCATTTTTGAATTCAGTAAAAAGTTAATCTCAGAAAACAAGAGAATAGAATTTTTTTTCTTTTCAAATCTGTCATTTTTTGGGATAATTCAGCACAAAATTTTGAAAATCTCTTAGAAAATAAAACCTCAACAATGTCGGCAGAATCGATTTGAAAGTGGTATATCAACGTGTGTTACTGTAAGGCAAGTTTTACATTGACACAAAATATCACATTTATTTATTTTGGAACTGGACTTTTGTATTTATTTGAATTAAATAAGTGTGATAAATATTTACTTAATAACCAATTTATTTTAAGATGAAACTTTCATAGAATGTGACTCCAAAATTACATTCGTTGTAACCCTTCCTAACATTTCTGGAGTTATACTATCAAATGCAGCCTATATTCTCCGTTCTAATTCTTGTAGGTCGAACACTGGAGTTACATAAACACGGTATTTCACGTCCCCCAAACAAAAAAATCTAAGGGTGTCAAGTCCGGTGACCATGGGGGCCAAATCACTGGACCGTGTGTTGAGATTAGTCTTTCCCCATAAACATCACGTAGGTGTTCAGTGACATCTCTAAAATTATAGGGAGGTGCGCGAGTCTGTTGAAAATAAATATTTAATGTCATGGCAAGAGGTAAATCATCTAACGAGTCTTCAATTTAATTTCTTAGGAATTGTAAACATCGTGCGCCAGTTACGGCACCATGAAAAAAAAAAACAGGTCGAAATAATTCGCCTTCCTATCACTCCTGCCCAAACATCGATTCTGAACGGTTCTTGAAACTTTGATCATTTAAAGACCAGCATCTGTTGTTCGGTCGGTTAAACATAGCATTATTTGAGAATCGTGACTCATCAATAAACAAAATTAAGTTAACGAAATTATTATTCTCGTCATGTTTATCAGCCAATTACAGAGTCAGCTTCATCAAGATGTCGAGGAAGGTTATACTTAAAAGAATGTTAGCCGTGTTTTTTTTTTTAAATTGTCCTCACAGATTCTCTTGAGATATCTCATTTTAATGCCACTTCGCTTAGCGACGGAGCTGAATTTACGTTGACGTATCCGACAATCTTGATATCCATTTCTCCATAGTAAAATTATCATGTCCATTATTTTGTGGATTTCTTATTTTCAATTCCAGCTTTCTAAAGAAAGAATGTGGAGGAAGGAAGGGATGCATTTTGATTTTGAGAATTTTGGTGTCAAAATGTTGGAAAAAAAGTACCGACTTTAAAAAATTATTGTTCCCACTAGGATGCTATTCGAAAGAACTATGTTATCCTGAAAAATTAATAGTTCAGTAAATTAAATGCTATTTGCTATTAGACAAATAAAGAAAAGTTTCATTTACAATTTTTCACATGTTCAGGTGACCCGGTAAATAGTATTTATAATGGTCACAGAGTCCTAGACACAATTTTCAAAAATTACATAAAAATTTAAAAAAAACAGAAGACAAGAAAAAAACATCCTATCCAACGTAGAATGATCGTCTGAATCCAAAAATGCAAAAAAATATAGGTTGTGCTATTTAAAATCCAAAAGTTATTGTCGTTTCAGCTCAAACCGGAAGCGCAACCATTGACTACATATTGTCAAAAAATTGGACATTCAGTCTATATGAATCCTTCCAAATTTCTATTAATATTTTTATCTTCACGTGATCATTTTTGGGCCAATAAATTAAACCTGTCCAGGGTAGTGGCAAGAAAATTGAAACACAAAATATATGAACACATTCTCTCGTATTGCTTACTACATAAATGTAAATGTAAATTAGTCGTCAGAATAGTGTGAGTCTATGCTATCTATGCTTTACGTTGTTCTATGTTTTTTTATAATTATTTTCGACTTCAAGTACATGATGACTTCTATCGCTTCTATTCGATTCAAGTCGCAGTGGTGGTAATCTAAGGGATGTCCTGCCAGATTTTGTTAAGACATTGGCTAAGTAATAACTTCTATCATACAATTTGGTTCTTAAAACTTCAGGTAGTTCAAAATAAAGGTCATCCTGGCTAAGGAATGCTTGAACTTGTTTTTGCTGCAGATCATTGGTCCTTTTTTAGCTAAAATGAACACTATTACCGTCATAAACCAATACGCTGCCTGGTGGGATATTTGGAAGAAAATTCTTTACCTCACATTCAAAAAGGTTATTTGCCATGTCCTATTGCTAATGAGCAGTCTTTAATATTTTTTGCTGAAAGTAGCAAAGCGTTTGGCACCCGATCTTCCGAGATATTTAACAGGGCAGTTTTTCTCACCTCTTTTAAATAAATTAGTTTGGACCTTGTATGTGCAGGGTATTGATGTATGCGCATCCAAAAACGTACACTAAGGTACAATAGAACCTGGTTATTCGCTGCTGTTGAAGATGGTAAATCCATTGATGCAAAATATAGTTATGCGACCGGACATAAGATTCACTAACATTTAAAATTAACCACTGCAATACCTGCACAATCCTTAAATAAAATAATTACGGACAAATGAAACTTAAAAGAATACATGAAGCTATACAAAACATTTATTTTAAAAATTAATAAAAACATGATTAGGTAATAACAAAATCCTATTAATTGTTCATACAAACCATATGGGATTATACACAAAAGATGCATTGTCTTAGGTTTTTAACGAATTTAACGAATTCATGCTCGCAATCACGAAACACTGTTCTACAAAGAAAGAAAATTTAACACAAACATGGACGGTACTGCTCAATGTCGCACAATTTACATCCACATCTTGGGACTTTCATGCGTTGTTCTTTATGACTTTAAGAACCAATACGATAGTTTTTATGGATTTGTACGGCAACCACTGCCATCTATTAATAAGGTCAACACCATCAATGTCATTTGAAGTCCGTAATTTTATTTTCTTCCAGCTTTATTCGCGCCGCATTTCTGGCATTGACACCGGAATATCCACAGACGAGGCAGTTCGTACCAAACGTGCTGCGCGACTTGCTGAAGCAACTGAGCTTGTTCATGCAGACGAGTCCGCCTCTGAAGCAAATGACGGACGCCCGACTGCTTAAAATGGCCGTCGAGCGGATGCTGAGCAAGTAATCTTTTCGGAACCGTTGTGTACATAGACTTATTCGAAAGCCAGTGGCTCCCCTTTTTTACATACATTTATAATGTTGAGTTTCGTGACGAAAAATGTAACATACGACCGTTTCCGTTTTGTATGTTTTGTTTAATTTTTATTAAGACTGGTACTGAATAAATACCTTTTTTTTAACGGAGTTTCTTATTTTTGCGAAACTCCAAAATGTTTAACCTTTTAAAAACTCTCGAGAAGATCAACGCTAGTCAGCCAGTTGAAAAGATAAGCCGGAGCGCGTATAAATTTGACTTGTTTAATTTCACTGTGGCGTTTGACGAAACTGAACCATTTTTGTCAATTTAAAAACGGTTAAAGTTAATAATTATCCGCCTAAATAAAACGATTATTCAAAACGATTCATTTATATTTAACTCTCAAAAATATAAAAGGGGTCCAACTTATAATAAAGTAACAAGTACGACGAGACGCTAAATGTTCATTAGTGTTTTCTATTTACAGGCCGAGAATACAAAATATTCGCTTTTTTTCTATGTTACACCTAAATTAATGGCATAGAACACCTTTTTAACTTATAGAAATAATTGCGTGGTACCTAATTATCTATATGTATATAGGTATGTATGTATATACAATTACAATTGCCAGCTACCCTACGACGAGATGACTCACAGATACTGAAGTGGATTTATATAAAATCTGGTGTTATTTGAACCGACCTCATTTAGAAGATGGAGCCAGTAGATTTGCACGTCACAAAGGACGCCAAACTCAGAAATTTATTATTTATTTATTATAGTTCGGCAACAGAAAATTAAAAAAGAAAACGACCAGAAACGAGTACTGTTTGTAGTAAATGATAAGATAATCTTGGAAAATACAACCAGAAATAAATTAATCCAATAACAGCAAATAGTACAGAAAATGAAAGAGCACAGAAATAGACAAAGCTAATCTCAAATATTTTTTGAAAATCACATAAAATATAGAAACGTAAAAATTCCTATAAATACGGGCAAGTAATAATAAAAGCACCACGTCATGAGAGATCTTGTGTAAAAAAGTTAACGGCGGCAAATATAACTTTAATAAAAAATTGAATAATTTTGTGCTTATCCCTCGAATTCTGTAAACCCTGGGTTTATAGGAATTGCTACGGTAACAATATTTCTTACGTATCACCATGTATATTTTCCAGACCGTCTATAAAAGGCCAATCTACGGAAGAAGGCAAGGCTAAATCATTTTAGTTAGATTTCTATGCGATTTATTTATGATGATGCACCCGTGATGATTTTATTATTCATATTTTCTATGAGTAGATAAGCTATGGGGGTTCGACGGCAACTTCGGACGTTATTGTAAATTGTCATAAGAAAATTTACGGTTCGTTCAAGGTTATTTAGTGAATATCAAGCCCGTTCCATCTTTTATATACTTGTAAATAGTGCTTCATATACGGTCTTGTTCTTTTATATACGGTCTGCAATCTACATTTCGTGTATAAGCCTCCCAACATATCAGATATCAAGTTGAGATTTTGGCAAACAAAATGTTTACTATTTTTTTAGATTATTTAGGGGGCTTTACTTACACACCAACATAATGTACCATCAGCCGGTGCCCCACCCAGATAACCGAGTCCTACCGAATATGATCTCTCTGGACGGTTTTTGCGAAATATATACACGCACTCCCTATAATATACATAATATTTACAATCGAGATGCAATTTAACGTCCTTTCCCTTTGCCAAAAACAATTTTTCAGGTACTGTGACGAAACGAGAAAATTTAATCAAGTCGATTTACGCACGACACTGTATAAGTACTCCCGAAATCCGCGCAACCAAAGGCATAAAAACGTTTACAAAAAAAATATATATAAATGCAGCGGTTTCACAGTCACCCTCGCCGGCCATAAAAACAGGGTCGGTACAACCATGTTGAAAATTATTCCAAATTCTCAGACCGTTCAGTCTTCCACCGACCTATCGACCCTGCTATAAACCGAAACGGCTACAGCAACCACGCCCTTGGTCTATGCCACCGTACATTAACAAAGACACAAAGAGTCACTCTCTTCAAAACGGAGAGTGTCCATTCTCGTCTTCGTTATATAATTGACCGTTTCTGTTTCTGTTTAACAATATTGTTAAAACCTTAAACGAATGCAATCTGATATATAGCAATATATATTCATTCAATAATACATAAAATCATATTGCATTTCTCTAATTTAGCTTCAATATTGAAATGGCTGAACAAAGGAAATTTAGAGGAAAACACAACCACACAACAAACCTTTGGATACTTCTGTAATAACTCTACTTACTGTAGGTTAGTACTGAATGACTGCTGTGACCTAGTTAGCTAGATAAAATCTGAACTGTTCGAGCCATGGTGTTCAAATTTTCCCATGTTCTAGTACTAGTTAACTTAGCAATTCATATAGTAAAAATTGGAGAAACAGAATACTGTCCGGCGGCATCCACGCTTAAGAATTGAGACGCACGCCTTACGTTCTAGTAATTTGCTACGACGAAATCTCACTATCAGCCGAAGCCCGAGTCCTAACTAATGCACCAGCACGTCCTGTTTTTCGGACGTGCTACCCTGTCTGGTCGGGCTGAGCAGCTCCTGTCTATCCCGTTCTCGTTCCCGTCCCGGCCTGAACGTTTCCAGAAGAGCGTTCACTCGCTCTTCGGTCGGTTCCCACCGTTGGTGCCCTGACACGTTCTGCAGCCACACGATGACCGTCGCGTGGTTCGACCTCACGTTCAGCTCGGACCTGAAAAGTTATTTCTCTGTAATGTTGAATAATAATAATAATAATATATTATTCTTATTATTACAATATTACAGTATGTATTTGGCCTAGATACCTATTTTTAAAAAACCTGTATGTGTTAAACCCAAAATTAACTAACTGACTTATCAAATTATTAATTAGTAAAAATTCAATCTTATTGTATATCCCTATATTTGTGAAAGTCGCATCGATATGATTCGCCAAGCATGGCTTAACGTCTAAACGAGAGGTTAGGACATTCGCACATAACGTGTTCTACTGTCTCATCTTCACGTCACGTGAGGGTGCTACTCGAACCCAATCTGAATTTTTGTTTTGTTAGATAAGCAATGAGCCGTACCGATACCTGTGACAATGCGTAGCTTTTTTCTGGATATAGTCAGGTATTGTTTGGCTAATGTTTGGTTTGGATAGCTCAATAGCTTTGTAGCTAGCCTAAAGTTTTCTTTTTCATCCAAATGTTTTCGTAATTGCATCTGGGAGTTTTCCTTTATCAGCTCTTTAATGACTGATGTTTCCAGATCGCCAAAAGGCTCTGGTCCAATAAAGTTCAGTCGGGCAGAACTACTGGCCAGGGAGTCGGCGTCACGATTTCCTCTGGAATGTGCATAATGTACCTTAAAACTAACCATACCAAGCAAACCTCTAAACACCTAAAACATAGTTTTTGACTTTTCTACTCCACCACTAAACGTCTGATGCTCGCCGTTTTCTTTTTAGAGCTCTCAGCGAGATAAGTGCGAAACACATAACTTCAGGCTGAATTCTGAGATAACTGGACTAATAACTTGTCAAAAATTAAATTAGTCATTATATGTCAAATGTGGCGAAAATTCAAACATTGAACTGAGGTGGCTTTTACTTGATGAAAATCCATTTATCAAAATAAATAAGAACTAAAAGTTCAGATTTCAGTTTCAGTTCAGTTCAGTTTCGACAACACCGTGTCTTTATCCAATTTGATTTTTTTTTTTGATTTTTTGGGAGTCCAACATGATGAAAACAAAAAAAAATGAAAGACTCCTGTCAAAATTAACAAGCACTTAAGGTATAATTAGGATGTTAAGCTATTTTATGAAACTATACCTAGTATCTTAAAGCGAGAGGTGGCCAATTTAAAGGTTACATACTAAAGTTCAGATAAATTGTAATGATTATTTTCCGGATATACATTTTTAAGAACTACACACCTCAAACCGTTCTTAAATTAGGGCTACACTAATTTGCTTTCAATAAAAAGACGAGTTGGGTGATGCGACCGCGGCGTTACTAGAGGTAGTTTATTAGAATAAGAAATATAATAATAATTATACATAATTATAATTATAGAGCTCTTGAATCACATCAGACAAATAAATAAAAACTAATTTGGAAGTAAGAATAGTGTTAAAACAGACAAATTGTAATAAATATAATTATTTTAGAAAATGTATGTCAGATGAACTATAGTTATTAGACTTCAGAAAAATAATGAGGGGATCTACAGTATTTCTATTATCAGCTTGTTTTTTTTCTTCATTTCATTTTAAAAGTGGTGTTATGCCTTGCTTTTCCTCAACAAAAAAACTTATACAAAGAGGTTTATTTAAATTTACAATCCTCAGTAGCTTGCTTTTTATTTAAACTAATTAAAGGATTTTTTTGAGTGCTAGCATTATCCATGACTATAAACAGGCCCAGGAGGAAAAAGATCATTTGCAGGAAATAGTCTTTAAAAATATCAGCACTCATGTGTTCATGATTGTCCGCAGTCCTTTTTGAATGAATTGCCAGTAAGCCGCCACCGAGATTTTTGCTACCAACGTATGTAATTATCAACCTTTTTCTGAGAGTGCTTTTATTCCAGTGAACGATTCACGAAAGCCTGCCTCGGATATACCAACGGTATATCCTTTATTTACCCAAGGTTCCAGATAGTAGATATTCCGGTTTTCCGTTTGAAATTTTCCAACTGATCTCGAGTATCGTCGTCGCCAGCAGATAATTTCGTCTTTTTCTATCACACATAAAAGAGTTTTTGTAACAAAAATTGATTTCCTTCAAAGTTTTTTACCACAATTTCTTCTTACCCATGGGTCAAATGAAATTATCCTTTTTTATTTCAGACATTACTTTATCCAAGCTAGGTAAGTAAAACGAGTGTATTATTATTCTGATGACACTCTTTTCATCTTCATTTATCGCAGTTTCTGTTTTTCCTTCCATAGATTGTGGACTGTCCATTCATATTTCAAATACTTTACAATTATTTTTGCCACTCTGACGGTGGCGAAGAGCTTTGAACACATAATTTCCTGATTTTTAGAAAGTGCAGTTTTACTTACCACTCAGTCACATTTTCAAGAACGAGCTTTGTCAAAAACTGCCGGAAAGTAACTATAATTCTAATTTTAAACTCTAAGGCCGAGCAGTTCAACTTCTTATCCGTCTACTCTCAGGACCATTAACAATCATCATAGGGACAATACTATGCTTATGTAATATGACTAAGATCACTAAGTTTTGCAGTTGAATAATGATTTATAACTCTCTCGTTTTCAAATCGTGTACTCATACATGCGTATTTACAATTTGCACCCACAGATGTGATGCTTAGCCTATTCCACAGCTTCTTCTTTATACAAACTTTGTTGCCCTTGTTTAAAAAAAATCCTTAGTGATGGTTTATATAAAAATATGCACATTGAACTGAGGTGGCTTTTACTTGATGAAAATTCTTTTATCAAAATAAAGAAGAACTAAAAGTTCAGATTTTCACGAAATTATATATTTTGACATGACAATTGTTTCGACAACACCGTGTCTTTATCAAATGTTCTCGAAACAATTGTCATGTCAAAATATATAATTTCGTGAAAATCTGAACTTTTAGTTCTTATTTATTTTGAATATGCACATTTATAACAGAAACAAAGAAAATCTGCAGATTTCAGCTATGAGCTCATAGTTCAACTTTTTTTCAAAAGGCTACAAGGCTATGAAACCTTAAAAAAAGAAATGGGTCACATACTTAAAAGTCACATGTTTCGTCAATGGCTTTCGAAGTGTGATTGTGTATTTAAAAACAATATAAACCGTGTTTTCTTGAATCAAAAAAATGTATGGGCGATTTATTAACCTGTTGAGTACGTGCTGGAATCCATGCCGGAATTCATGCTCGTAGGCGGGTATGGTGACCTGACGCCGCTTGAACTGGCTCGATTCGAGCCGCAACAAGGCCGTCGGCGTTGGTTCCCTGTAGTCCGGCATCAGAACGATGAAACTAAGAGGTTCGGGGCTGTCATTCAATAGCCGTTCCATGTGGTTGACGGACGCCTCCATTAATTCCTCGCAGTAGGGCGGGTTCGCCGCGAACGATCCCGACACCGCTTTCAGATGCAGGAACGACCTGCGCATAAACCACATCGTTCACAATATGGTTCCATATTCCATACTTATTACATAATATAGGGGGAGTAAATACAGTAAAATTGATGCGCCTGCAAACAACGAGCACTTTGTGCCATTTTCTGTCTAAACGGCGATCTTCGCACCCTTAATTTGTTTTTTCCCTTGAAAATTTATAAGATCTGTGCATATTTTCAAGAAATACTGCCGAAGAGTGTCAGCGGTCATGTTGATTGTTCAACGCCGCAAGGTCTTATTGGGTGAAAGCGATATTTCAAATGACAGGTCTCATTGGGAATTTTGAAATGACCCGCGCATGAGCATATCGAAACAACAGTTGCCGATGGTTTTATTATCAGCATAGACAATGCCTCTAGTTACCATACTACACTTTTACAATTTACCAAGTAAATTTGGTATTTTCAGTTTCAATGACGATATACTGCGATCTTAATAGGAAACCCTCATTTCAAAAAACCTATTTTGTCTTTTCATCCGCCCTTCCCTCCCTAACCTAAAAGTTAAACATACATACTTTTTTATTTAATTTTTTTCAAGGAGCATTGTGTAACTTAAAATTATCCCCTGCTTTCCATTCACCATTTATTCAGTACTAGGCAAGCTGACTCTCGCCTCACCATTGGACAACAACTAGTTGCTAACGATTAGACTGGCGCCCTGGGACCCCCGCTTAAAGAAACAATGACAGCAAATTAAAAGCGTAATATTGATGTAATTCATGACGTCATTGGTTTAACCGTGATGGATCTTCTCGGGATTAACCACGCAAGTAAGTTTTCATTCTCATCAATCTCTTCTATATTCGGCATATTGACGTTGTTCATTATTTACAGACTATTTTTATTTCATTTGTCATCTGAACAAAATTACGTTACGTACCGTGTGGTCCAATCGTGGGATAAGGTTTAATATTTTATTTACGTAAAACTATTTCAAAAAAAGTTTTAGTGATTTTTGTCGATACTTAATGCATATATTTTCCAAACCAAACAGGTTTTTTAGGTGTAAGTGCATGGTGGGTGTAACATCATTTTGAACCTCGCGTTACATTTACATCGCCTAATCAAGAAGACAAGACGCAACTAAAAAGTTTTTACATTTTATGCTCTCTAAAATGGAAAAATATACAATTCCTCTTAGATTGCCCGGTTACAAGTTTTCCTTTTCCATTCTTAGTTCTTCATATGATTAAAATGAAAATAAAAAAATTGTGGCTTTTTTTATGTTTAAACTGTGACCATAGATGTCGTTAAGATCTTTACATTATTATTGAGTTTGACATCTAACGCAGCATTAAAACCAACTTAATCTAATTAATTTTTATTTCAAACAATATCTTTACTTGTACTGAATGCCTAAAATAACTCTTCCCTTAAGAAACATATTTTGGATTTATTTGATACGTTTCTTTAGTACAGATAGACTGTCAAAAACAGATATAGTTCATTGTAGCTTTCAAATATGTCTTAAGACTAATACAAAATGTTAATAAGAAAAATAGATTAGTTTATTGTATAAATTTGGGTAAATTTATTAAAATTTAGTCACAAAATTTAGGCGTGCTTTCATTAATTTTAAACAGTTAGAACAATCGTTTTTTTTTTTAAATCAAGCTTATAGACCGTAAACAATCGGCGAGTTATCGCGAAAAGGAGAATAAATCTGAGAATAAAGCTGATCGTTCTAAGCTAGTACGTTCGTTTATACGCTTTGATTGAGGTATTTATGTGTGCGAGATGATACCTAAAAATTCAAACTAGAGACTTTGCATTTAATAATTATAAAACTTTGTGTTGTTTTATTATCTTTTTGTGATGTAGCAACTTAAAAAGTTTCTAATCTTATGCATGTTTTTGCAGTTTGCAACCTGAAGTACCAACAAGCTAGTGTGATCAAAAGTAGTTTTGATTTATTTTTTAATCAGTGCTAAAAATATCTTATATACTGCAGGTACAGTACCTTATGTTTTAATGTCAATGACACGAAACTTTTATTAAAGCCAACTTGTAACATTCTGAAAAAGAATCATATTAAAAAATATAATGAAAAAGTCTCTATGACTTCTATATGGATTCCCTGCGAGAAAACCGCTACAGGTGTCTGTGCTTTCCACAGAAATTCGAGCGTCGACAGGTATTAACGGGGTACTTGATGGTTAAAACAAGAAATGAGTTGCTAAACAGTTGCTAAACAGAGCAACAATGGGGTTTAATGCCCCAAGACCTTGGAAAACTCATTAGAAGCCTGAGAAGCAGATGTTGGGCTGTTACTAACAATCTAATTTGCTAGAATGATACATCATTTGTTTATAATGCGTTTGTTCCATTTTTACATTTAATTTGTAAACTTCCTAAATGTTAATCTAAAAGGTGTGTATTTTGATCTCACAATATAATCCTCAGATTGGTACCGACGTCTATTCACGTCTTTCAGTAGCAAATAGCTTAATTAACACTTATAAACAAACATGTAACCCTATAGCGCCCGGCATTTATTTTTCCAGTCGTCATGACTAATCGACTGTCTCGTTTCACCGCCTTGTTGTAGGGTTCGTGTTGGTTGAACCGCTAATACCAATGCAATTGCCCCCAAACCTAATTAATAAATCTAAGTGGAGTGCCCCACTTAGTGGCTAAAACACTCACCCCCGGCTCCCAAAGTACGAGTCGCAGTCCGCGAAAGCGGAACAGTACTGCTTAAAGTAACAGTTGAGGGGCGAGGCGAAACATTCGAACGACACCCCGAACGCTCGGTTCAGGCACTCGAACACCGTGACTGGTAACGACGCCTGCGTGTCCCTCACGTCGGCGTTCGCCGCCCCCGGCGACGGGTTCACACCGAAAAAAGTGGCGTAACGTTTGAGCATCGTCCAAACGCGCGGTATGAACAACTCGAACTTGCGGTCGTCGAAACAATTGTGACGGTAAAGGTGCTCCAGTTTCTGAAGGTACGTATTGTTGATGGCGAGGGCGTCGCCCTGAAACCGCAACATCGCCTGGTCTCTGTCGGGTACGTATTCGACGACGGGCAACCGGGGACAACCGATGGCGAACTGTACCGGATAACACCAGACCTGTCGTCCCGTCGGACAGTGAGTAATGGTGGTCCGCCCACGGCGGGCTTACTTAAAAACGCAGATATATGAGAGGGGGATAGATCGCTTTTTTGGTCGGTTTTTGCACCATACCTATGGCCTATTCTTGAAGAGTTAGAATAAAACTTTCAATATAAAAGATGTATATCTATAAAGAAGAATATAAAGTTTTCTCATATTATCTTTTGCCGTTGTTTCCAATATCCACGTGTAAATTTTAAGCGAAATTACTAAAACCACATAGCTATTAGGTAGTATAGTGGCCATATTATGGTAAAAATTGGTGCGCTGTTTTTTTTTTATAAAAACGTCCCTGCTGTTTTCGTATTTGGCATTTGATTGTGTGTGGTTATCTCCGTACCATTTTTCGTGTTTTGTGACAAAAATGCTCCCTCCCCAACTAGAAAAAATTGTGTTTGCGATCAAAACGGTAACAAAAAAAATGTACCTATAGGTATTGCTTCATGTCATATATAAAGATATAGAGGTCCCGCCTATGCCCATAACACAGGAACTTATGAAGCAACTATGAATGCCGCAACGTCTTATTGGTAGTAGTTAGCCAGAAAGATTTAGCAGCAATCCATTAGATATATTTCTATAGAGTTTTTTGAAAAATAAAGTGTATTCTTGAAGATCAGTAAATTTGGAAGATCTGCGTCTAAAAACACAAAATAGCAGATATTAATAAAAACCATCTGATAAACTCTATAAATAGGATATTTTTAATTAATCCTCCATTTTGCATAAATAGTAATGTCACATCCCATGGCTGTACAGATTTTATTTAAGATTTCGTAGTTAGATTTGTTGTACTGTTGACAAGGGTTTTTTCAACATATATATATATATATATATATATATATATATATATATATATATATATATATATATATATATATATATATATATATATATATATATATATATATATATATATATATATATATATATATATATATTCTCACGTATTGATTCACGGATGGAAAAATGTGATGACACTATATTCCGGGATATCATCCGTTCGCTCGTTGAACTCCGACTGGAATCCTGCATCCGACTGGAATCCTGCAAATCTTGCATCCGACTGGAATCCTGCAGACGTTTCGCCAAAATCTCACTTGGCATCTTCAATGCTCGCGCTCCGAAAACACTTCGAACTCGTTCGAACACAGTGTTCGAAGTGTTTTCGGAGCGCGAGCATTGAAGATGCCAAGTGAGATTTTGGCGAAACGTCTGCAGGATTCCAGTCGGATGCAAGATTTGCAGGATTCCAGTCGGATGCAGGATTCCAGTCGGAGTTCAACAAGCGAACGGATGATATCCCGGAATATAGTGTCATCATATATATATATATATATATATATATATATATATATATATATATATATATATATATATATATATATATATATATATATATATATATATATATATATATATATATATATATATATATATATATATATATATATATATATATATATATATATATATATATATATATATATATATATATATATATATATATATATATATATATATATATATATATATATATATATATATATATATATATATATATATATATATATATATATATATATATATATATATATATATATATATATATATATATATATATATATATATATATATATATATATATATATATTATATATAT